GAGTGGAATGGTGCGGCCCATGAGCACGCATGCAGTTCAGAGCAGCCCGGCCGTGAGAGTGGCTGACCTGAGCGGTTCCGGGTTCTGTCCCAGTTCCGTCAGGCGCCGCAATTTTTTGCTTTGTGAGCCGCATGCAGCTCGCGAGCTGCGGGTTGGCCATTGCTGGCCTAGTGCATTAGTCTGGGAGCTGACCTTGTCTGTGAGGACAGAGGCAAAGAAAGCATTGAGTACTTCACCTTTTCCCACGTCATCTGTCACTAGGTTACCTCCCTTATCCGGTAAGGGTCCCACACCTTCTCTGATCACCCTCTTATTGCTAACGTGCCTGTAGAAACCTTTCTTCTTACCCTTCACATTCCTTGCTAGCTGCAATTCCATTTCCACTTTCGTCTTCTTGATAACTGCCCTGCATTCTTGAGCAATATATAGATGACTCCTCCCTAGTCATTTGTCCACGTTTCAATTTCTTGTAAGCTTCCTTTTTGTGTTTAAGCTCACCAAGGATTTCCCTGGTAAGCCAGTCTGATTGACTACCATATTTGGTTTTCTTACTGCCCCTATCCTCCCGGTCTGCACAGCCCTGAATCCAGGAGGGCCAACTGGCCTGAGGACTAGGCCACAAGGCTGTATTTGCCCCCAGAGAGGGGACTTCTAAAGACTATGCCAAGAGGCTGTATTTACCCTAGGAGAGGGGAACTCTAAAGACTGTGCCAAGAGACCAGATTTACCACAGGAGAGGGGGACTTTAAAGACTGAGCCATTGGGCCAATATGGGAAAGATCCCAACCAAGGGGGGGGGGGAACCCCTCGACACCCAGTAAGCCAGTCTGATTGCCTACCATATTTGATTTTCTTACTGCGCTTCGGGATGGTTTCTTCCTGTGCCTTCATTAAGGCTTCTTTAAAATTAGCCAATTAGCCCGTCATAAGACGGGATTTTCAGGTCTCTCCTCCACTTTGGTCTTCTCTCCTGGGCCTCCGGTCTCTCGCTCCATCTCTCTCTCTCTCTCTCTCTCCTCCTCCTCCTCCTGCCTCCCCCTCTCTCTGCTTCAGCTCTCCTCCGCCTCCTGCCTCTTTCTCTATCTCTTTCTTTTTCTTCTCCTTCCCCTTCTGCCTCTTACTC